ACATGAACTTGGTGCATTATATAATGGTAATATAAGGCGAAACTTTCAAATTCTTGCCTCTCATAGCTTACAGCTTGAGCTTCACTTTTCTTTTTCTTAGGTGCACCAACTTTCTTTGCACTAGTATTCTTTCTTTCATTCAACTTACCATTCTTGATGACATTTTTAATAATTTCGCTAGCGATCACTATGTCAACAAAGTTTTTGGTGGCATTCCTAATCATTCTCTCATAGTAAAAAGCCTTCAAAGTACTGACAAATAAGATAGTAGTTTCCTCAATACTTTTCTTATCAGTAAAAGGTGGTTGAACTTGAACAGTCATGTCTTTCCACCTCTGTACATACTTTTTGAAGCTTTCAGTAGCTTTATTTTTCATGTTCTACAAAGAAAGATAGTCTGGAGTTAAATCCATGATATGTCTGTATTGAATAATAAATGTCCTTACTAATTTTTTTCATAAGGTGATGTAAGTTCTATCCAACTAGACATACCATCTAGCTGTAAAACCTATAAGACTATCTTAGAACATATGGATCAGTAGCTTCTTATCATTTGTATAAGTAACCATTTTTTGGCTATACATCGTGCTATGAGTCACAAGTCATTTAGTCCCATCATACTTCTCAAACTCAGAGACTTTAAACTTGGGTAAAACCACCATATTGGGTACCAAGCATAGTTTAGATGTATCCATCGATCCAAAAATATCCATCCTTTTTTATAGCTTGAAGTTTCCCTTTTGTTAGATTCATCTTTTTAGTGGATAAGTCTCTATTGCCTTAGAGATGCTTATTTTCAATTTTTCTTATTCTTTGAGATTATCCAAATCAAGAACTTGAATAGAATTCGATATCCTTTCACCAAAGGTAGGAGTAATGTATGCTTGGAATGTTCTTTGGAGAACTCCATATGACATTCCTATATATGTATATGGATATGCCCTAGAAAAAGAAGTTGTTGTCCTTATGCTCTTTGTGATGTTAGGGCCTAGTGTGGGCTATATCCGAAAGGATATATAACATCTTAGGATGGTCGATCTGGTAATGCAAGAGTTTCCACTATAGCTTTTCCTTTATTCATTTTATTGAGCATTTTCATAATATTTTCCAACTCCTCATTGATTTCTATTTGGGCCTTCTCAACCATTTCAATTTGGTTAGCCTATTCTTGCTCTATAAGCTTTGTTGAATGCAAGTGTTATAATGGTGGTAAATGTGCTGCCCATGACGATTGAGCTATCCTTGAACCTTTTTTTGTCATAGTTAGGATAATGTGTTACTAGATGCCAAGAATCATCCTAACATGTTAGAAAAATTCTTCTATATGTGTGAATGAATAGATGAATGCATGTATTGGATGTGATAGTAACAAGTTAATGATGCATGAATGGATAAATAAATGCATGCAAATAACAATTTAGTGATGCATGGATTGATAAATGATTGCATGAATGGATGCATGAGTTAATATTGGGCCCATAATGATGCATAAATGAACAAATGACTACCTTGGTTAACATAACAATTTAATGATATATGAATGGATGAATGAATGCATTAGATGCTAGATACATAAAAATTCAGATGCATGGATGACTAAATGTATGAATGTGTTAATATTTACCACATAATAACTCGTGAAAGACTGAATAAACTCAAACTCTTTCAACTTTATCACAAAATTTAATATAAATAAAACTATAAAAGTTCTTTCATGTGTCTTTACTTAGGTTTTTCTAGATAATGGGTAAACATGACTTTAACCTAGAGTTGGCTTTTTATGGTTTTTCTATATGCCAGGTTAGGATATTTTGATAATCTAAAGGTTCTCAAATTATTCTTTACATCATCATCTATTTTAGACTAATAAGGCACCCAATCCTAATCTATAATAGGTTTCAAAAGAAAAGAGTTTAATTTGAGTGGGAAGTTTTGCTAGCTCATATAGAGGTTATCATTTCATGAGAGTGTAGATATTAGCTTCTTCTTAAAAGAGGACAAAACTCAAGTAGAGAGCTTATGTATGAAATGCATGTCAGCTGTGTGCGAAGGAACATACATACACTTTACACATTTTATTTACAACTTTCAAATTTCATACTTTGTCAAATAATTCACTAAGGGATAATACAAAAAAACAAGCATGTTAGTAATAGAAAATAAATATACAAACAATCAAAACAAGACCAATAAATAAGGTATAAGGTAACCTAAGATTAACAATTGGCTCGACTCTTTAACGTCCTAGTAAAGTCACCAAACTGTTATAACATGTAAGTTTTAAAACTAATCCATTAGATACAACATATGTAGTCGCTACCAATATTTTTTATTTAGGTATGATTGGCCACTTAAGTGAATCTATCTCTTTTAAGGTTATCCTAAACTTGATTAAGGATTCCTAAAAATAACATATTTTGGTTTTCTAAATAAAATTGGATTAGAGAGTTCAGTTACATGTAAAGAATGTTATAACATTTTTACAATACCCACAAATTGGTACCAATTAATCTTAAATTATATTTTTCTTGCCTTAAATAATATGGTCTTAATTTATTCTTATTATTTATTATTTTTGTCAATTTTAATATTTAAAATTTAAAAATCTTTTTAGATATTCTCAAACACCTTGGCTGACCCTCTATATATTTTTTATCTCAAGAGTATTCAAGTAACTTGCCCATTTTCCTTAGAGAAGCTTCATCATCGGATTTATTAAGTATTTTATGAAAAAAGAAATTAATTATATATAAAATTCATAATCAATACAAGATTAAATATATGGTCAAATAAATTCATAATAATGTAATAATTAAATATATAATTAAATATATAATTAATCATGCAACGAAATTAAATCACCACAATTTATTCCCAATTTTAATTTTTTTCAAATTAAAAATAAATAAAAATTCTTATATTGAGACTAATTTCTAAATCTTTCAACATCTTAATCGAATTTAGAAAAAATTTTCTTATTTAAAAATTTTTAAAAAAATTACACACTTGTAACTTTTTTGAAATTTTATCATAGGATAAAATTTTATTTATCCATAATTATTTTACAAATTAATTTTTTTAAAAAAATTAAATAAACAAATAGATAAATAATACTTTTAATATTACAATAAATAAATAACTTAAATAAAAATACAAAATAAATAGATAAATAATCAAAATAATAATAATAAAAAAAAGGTTACGAAAGGAATCTGTTCGACTCGGGGAAGGTGCGATTCAATTCAGCTATAGAAACAAAAAGAATTAGCTTGGTTATTAGTCTCGACTCAATAAGCTCGGCTCATAGCTCAATCAGACGTAAGTTACCGGACAGATCGTGATCGGGTCGGGTAAAAATTTCAGACAAATGAGTGGATCTTCAATAAAAATTTCCTCTCAAAACGGCACCGTTTTATGTTCCTTTAAATACTAAAAATAAAAATTTTTTATTTCATTCTTCTCCCAATTTTCTCTATTTGTCCTCAAATACTCTATTTTCTCTCTATAACAGGATGAACACTGACCACTGTTCTTCAAGGTTTTCAGAAAACCAGCGACTTCCGCCGTATCAGTCGCCGTTCGCTGATATCGGACTTGCATGAATGTCTCCTAGAAATCCCCGTTGGCCTCCTCAATCTATTCCCAACTTTAGATTTTCCAACATCCACGAAAATTTCACTAGATCTAACGCCAAAGTGTACGGCTGAACACCTAAAGCACTTTCCAAAAACATTTTTTTTTTTCTGTTTTGACTCTTTATTTCCCTGCGTCTATTGTGGTTGCTTTGTTTCTTTGGGCGCTCTATATGTACGGGATAAGAACTCCTTTCTAAACAAATTTCAATTCAATCAAAACTCGTTTCTTTAAGAATTCGGTGTCATTGGAACTCTGATTCGCAAGGGATTTAATCCCAAAAAACCTTTTTTTGTAGAAGGAATTTTAACTCGAATTATTTTTTCAATTTTCTGATTTTCCCCTTTTTTATTTTCGAAAATATAAAGAAATAAATAAAATAAAATGAAAATAAAAAACACCAGAAGAAAAAAATAAATAAAACAAAATGAATTCTTAATTTGGGCTCAAATTTCAAACAAAACCCAAATACTTAATCAAAGCCCAGACTTCTCATTCAAGCTCAAATGAGCTGTCCAAAAATTGCTATCCGGGGTCAGTATCCAATCCTCAAAAACCTTTTAACTATCAACCCGTGGACAAAATGAAATATCTATAATGTTTTATAAAATATTTTGATGTTCTTTTTAAGTTTTGAGAAAACTAGTATTTTCCCGTACGTATATAAACATTAATTAGTAATTATTATTTAAGTTAAGTTAGCTAACAAGTTATTGATTTAATTGGTTAAGATCTATTCTTTTCGACGAAACGGTTTTGAGATTTAAATTTTGTCGGTAATTACTTATTGAAATTATTTCGATGTATGATTTACAGTAACTTATTTTCAACTATTAAATATGGTACATCTTGTTCTGATCTGAAGATTGAACAGTTTATCTATATCTTGATTTTAAAAATTAAAAAAAAAAACAATTTAAGTTAAGTTATAATCAAAATTTTTTTCTTCTTTCTATTATTTTTCTTTAAGATTAAATAATTTAAAGATAGACAATTTTCTTTTTTTTTTTCTTTGTTTCTCTTCTTAAAAGCGTTCATGGTCCGCGATACATATATACCCGTCAAATCCGTAGATTGAACCTTGAACATAAACTTTGGCCCAATCCATAATAATATTTGAAAAGAAAAATAGGGAAGAGTCAAGACACATATGAGGAGGCAGATCTAGAATGCAGTAATGTCATCTCAATAAACCCATCATTTTTTTACGCAAAGAAACATAATTGTTACATTGGAATTACAAAGAAGTATTTTAAATTCCAGTAATTATTAATGATTGTTCATGGCATGCATGCACCAATAAACAATCACTAATTTCAAACATAACATTAATTTCTAAAGAAAATGAGAGAGATGGGCTTAATTGTTTAAGTAGACGGTTTCATGCGCAGTTGTAGACGTTGTTGTTCCAACCGCAATACCTGAGGAACATGTTCAATAAAGTTTAAGCCATCGGGAATTTGCGAAGCATTGGCTTTCAAGATCTCGCACATGCAAGTAGCTGCTTGACGATCAGTCAAACCATCAAAGCGTCTGCAGCATTGGCTGTTTGGGTTTGGACTCGCGCCGAAGAAAGCCTCGGTCAAAGGTTCTTTGCAAACAGCTTGATCACTTGGGCAAGGTGGAGTTTGAGAGCTAACCAACGTGAAAAAATGAAGATTGAGGGAAAGGAAAAAAACAGTTGATGTTGAAGCCTTGGAATCCATATTTCCAATCGAAGACCCAATTAAGTTTGTTTGATTGATTGTTCAAGAAAATGTGAGAGGCGATGAAAACGATTGCATGGGGAGAGGTTTTATGTAGTAGAAGGGAGATGGGTAGTGACTAATATAGTTCATATTTTTATTCAACAACCAATTAAATTAGGGATAATATAAATTTTTCATAAGATTATATATAATTAAGTTGGAGTTATAGTATTTAATATATTATTAGTGTAAACTTTTAATTTCACGAATAATGTTAAAAGATTAGCATGTCACATTTTTATTTTCTAAATATTTTTTAATATATGTGTCACCTCTTTAACTCTATTTATAAAATTTAAAATTTTACTATTAATATATTTAATATTTAATCCGATAGATTCAATAGATAAGTCATGTACAACTTAAAATCACATGTACTAACAAAATTTTATAAGTACTATTTATTGAAGAGCTATAAAATTATAATATATATACATAATATGCAAAAATTACAAATGGCTATCGCTATTATAACCAACATTGTCCATTTGCTTATTTTGTTAGGCAATACTTAATAGTTAGTTAAATGCTAGCTAAAAAAATCTTGGCTTAGGTGATTAATAAAATAATAAGGTATTATCAAATACTATTATTATGTAGTAATTTTAATTACTACATAAACATTGATTAACTAATTTTTGTTATCTCAACATATATAGATTGTTCATTGTTATTAAATGAGAGTAATTTACTTGTTTGATGATTTTATTTCCATTGAAATTATACCCAGCATAATTAAACAATTATAATGCAATTATTTGCAGTTAACCATTAATTTTTAGTGGTTTAATTTAGAAAATTTTTTTTTTTCAGTTGTTTAATGAACAATAAACCAAAAATGTTAATTTGATATTTTAGAAAGGTATTTAAGTTTTCCCTTAAAAAAAAAAAAATTAAGGTATATATAGTGTAGTAATAAAAATATAAAATCTTAAATAATTATTTGGTAATAATCTCATTTAGTAATATATAACTTTACTTTCTAATTTGGCTTAGATAAGTCAATAAATAAATATTTTAACATCATATATTTTAATTTTAGATTTTTAAACTTCCATATAAAATGCTGCGCAAATAGAACTATTTTAAAGGTGCGGTAAAAAAAATTAAAATAATGTTTGACAAATTTAATATAAAGGTGTTGCAAAATATTGAAAACTATTTTATAAGGTTTTTGAATGTTTTTATAAATGAAAAAATAGTTAATTTTATTAAATTAAATCATAAGATTTTATATAAGAGAAATAAATAAAATAAAAGATATTTTATTAATTAGAATAAAAATAATAAATGAAATCAATAAAAAAAATGGGCCAAAATAAAAAAGAGAATGTGGAATAATATAATTTTTTTTATAATTTTGTGAATTATTTAAGATAAAATTAAAAATGCAAAAAAATTTTTATTGAACGCTTGTTATTAAAATTTAACATTTTTTTGAAAAAATTTTGATTTATAACTTCCACTAAAAACTCAAATGTGCTTTTAGCATAAACTAAAAATCCTAAAATTTTTGAGAGTTAAACATCTTATTTATGCTTTTACAATCAGTTATTCTAAAAGTTGGATCAAATAGTCACTAATTTTATCATTAATACACACACACATATATGTATATGATATTTAAAGTAATTCAATTTATATTTTGATAATTCTTTTTATTTCCTACTTTTATATACAAGAAGATATTTATTTCATCTTTTTGGTAAATAGCTTTATTATGAGGAGAGATTTCTATTTACATTTTCATATTTTTTACACAGTTTATATTTTTTAATCTAGCTGTAGAATTTTATGCTCTAATTACCTATACCATGCCTGCCAAATTCTAGATTATTGATTTCTTTTACTAAAATCTTACGATTATCAAATCATAATAAAAAAAAATATTGAGGGCTTTATCATTTTTCAGTACCAATTTCACATAATAGATTGATAAATCTTGTACAATTCATGATTCCAATTTGATAATTAAAACATAATAATAGAAAGTGATTACGTTTCGCTTATTTCTTCTCACAAACACACTATATATATATATATGCATATTTATTTATTTATTTACTTATTTATTTATTTACATGGATATTAATAAATTAAATCCAAGCAATGAGTATGATTTGTTATCAAAATTGTTTTCATCAAACTTGCTTAATTTTACTTGAAATTTTATCAAGAGAATGTGATTAAGAAAGCAAGATATTATATGTCAAAATCACTAGACATGTGAAGGCTGACGGGGCTAATTTATTAGTTATTACTATCCCTTTGCGAATTGTGCCAATCAATTTGCAGATTAGGGAATGTAGAGGGAGAAATCATAATATATATATACATATATATTTATATATCAACGTCTCTTGATCCGAGTGATAAGGAGTTTGATTTTTTTTAAGTAAGATTTCGATTTTAAATTTTATGAATAAAAAAAATAAACTTAAAAAAATTTATCCTTTTTGTGAGATCTGATTCAACTCGATTCTAAATCAATCAAGATTAATCCATACCTAAAGTGAGTATATTTATATTAGTTGGCTCTTCAGATCCAGGAGAGTTGCTTGTGACCAAGATTAAGATCCATGCCTTACACGGTGATACAGCACTAGTCTTTTTATTTCCCATCTATACTTTACCCGAGTTCTAATTTTGTGGGAACATTTACAACATCCTATAGCAACTCTTTAGTGAAAGGGACCACCCACTTGACTTAACCGAAAATTTAAAATTTATCAGATGTAAGATAATATTATTTTAATTAATTCTATTAACTATGAGCATAATTATTATATAACAAACTCAATATAAGAAAAGAATCACGTAACAAAAACTGAGCTTTAATACCATTTAAGTTATTATTAGAACTTGTCAGTCTAACATAGAAAATTGGATCCGAATTTTGGAAATAGAAGCAAGAAACTAACAAAGATAAGAGAATTACCCTAAATCTATAAGCTTAAAACTGGCCAAAAACATATATAAGCTTATTATAAAAAAAAAAAAAAAACCCAAAGCATTCCAAGGACTTGTTAACTTCGGTCACTGGTTCATAGGGTCATTTTGTGAATTTTGTAGTATAATTCATCAAAATTTATGCTCTAAAGCCATCCACATAGCAAAAACAATAAAGCACTGTTGTGTACAAATTGTGATTATTTTGATCCCACTAAACATGCTTAGAGATATAATCTTTTATTTTGTTTTAGACTTTTAGGTCATATTACAAAATTATGATGGGTGTAGCATTTTTTTGACCATGTTAGGACCAGCCACATGAATGCTGATAAATAAATATATACCAGAGTAAAATCGTTTAAACATAATGGTTTGAATCTACAAAAAAATTCAATTATTCCATGTTACATGTTTAACATCCATCCCAGAATCCAACTCCAACCAAAATGGTCCTTCAAGCAACTGGGAATCCCAACTGATCAATCTCCTTCATTTCTGCATTCATAACAAAGAAAAAATAACAGGGAAAATGATATGTAAAATTACCTTCTGCCAATTAATAAGACAGGCTTTTTAGGTCCAGGCGATATAAGATGATGATGCTTACATGTCAGTTTCACAGGGGGCTACTTAACCTTCTTAAGGAGGTTGGCAGTTCGAAACTGGGAGTCGTCCGTCCCTAATGAAACTCCACCACTGGCAGGTAAGTGGAATAGTTGCTGCATGCCTATGGCATGGGCATCAAAGAATCCTTGATATGGAGGGGAATCAATAGATCTCAAGCAGCATTGCAAAGGGCACCAGCCAGTGACCACAAAACACTGTCGTAAACGGTTTTTGTATCCGTATGACGAATTTGAAAAACGAAATAAAAATAACTGAGTCGCTACCAATTTTTTTGACTAGATGCGATTGATCAACCTACTAAACATATCATTTAATAAGATTTTAAAACTAATTAAATTTATTAAAGAAATAATTTTACGGTCTGCGAAACAATGGGTTCAAGGTCGGTTACGCAGGAGAAGGATTAGTACCAAAACGGCGCCCACAACACTCGTTAAAACGTATCAACTAACACGTGTTATCTTTTGATTTTGATAAAAATAGTCCAATTTTCGGTGTTTGAAAAATAATTTCCTTGATTTTTTATTTATTAGAAAAAAATTCATTCTCGAGAAAAATAAATTAAAACATTTTTATTGAAATAATTCTTAAAATGTTCTAGTACGTTAGTAAGATTAGAAGAACTTTTTCTCACCTAGAGATTTCTTAGACATCGCTTCTTGGAATACCTTAGAATCTCATACTTGGATGCTCAAATTTACTTTTCGTAAAAATGTCATGCATGCAATGCAAAATGTTACCATGCTGATGCACGTATTTTATTTTTCTTTGTTAAAAGTTTTATTAATTATTTTATTAATATTCTTATTTAAAATTTTGAAGAAAAATGAAAATTTTATTATATTGAAGATTTTCTATAAATATTTCAATACACTGGTAATATTTTACAAAAAAATCTTCTTACTTAGAAATTTTTTAAAGTATCTCTACTCGAAATACTTTTAGAATCACATCATCGGATACATTTTCTTTTCTTCTCATTTTTATTACTTATATATTTAATATATTAATCAATTTTTATTTATTATTATTTTATAACCAAAAAAGGAAAATTTTTATTTTTATTGAAAATTTTTTTATAAATATTTTAATATACTGGTAATATTTTTTTTAAAAAATTTTTCACCTAGAGATTTCTTAGGCATCATTAGTCGGAATACCTTTGAATCTCATCGTCAGATAAAAATTTCCTTTTCTCTCATTTTTTATTACTTTAGTATTATTATTAAATTTATTTTTATATTATTTTATTTTTAAAGTTTATTTTAAAAATTAACAAAATTATAAAAAAAATTTAACCACAGATTTCATCATTTAATCTAACAAATATAAATATTTTAATATGCATAAATATTAATAAAATAATATATAAAATTTCA